AAGTATCAACTTCTTTAATGTAATCGATATTAAATGCAAATTATGTTGGAAACTTTATCGATATATAATGTTCAGTTGTAGTTTTAAATAATAAACTGGCATTAATTCTCATTTTTCCTCAATTGTATAGATAGTAACGAACGAAGCTTTTTTTTATAAACAATTATGCATCATTATATAAACAGCCTACGAAAATATAATCCTGCGAAAATGGCAAAACGCTAATAATAATTGCTGACCAATATGATAGTAAATACCTATTGAATATCTGTATGGCTATATTATATTTCTAATACTAAGTTTCCTATCGTGTTTATTAATTATTTTAATATTATTATTTGGAGTTAAATCTTATAAGGTTTTCCATAGCTGTAGTTGTAGGTAGTCAATAATTATTACTTAGTATTAAATATTATTAATTTGTATCATCCTTGATTCTTGAATGATATGGTAGGATGTAAATAATGTACTTCATTACGGTATTATTCGTTTAATCGTATTAGATTTTAACGACCAGAAACAAGTTAACGGTATAATATTATGTATGTACCTACTAAGAAATTTATATCGCCTCGTACGCGCATTGAGCATATTGCGCAGATACCTTTCTCCTGTATGTTATCTTAATCCTATTTCTATTTATCGCTGATGTTTGCTGCTGCTGCCTCCGTTACCGTTGTAGGTTAATTTTTTTCAGTTTAAACTACCTAGTTGAATATTATCATCCATTTCCTAGGAGTCCTAGTTACTTGATTCTAATATATTGTATATTTTTTTTTTTAATCACATTTTATCAAATATTTCAATTAAATAATAATTTAAAGGTTTATATTTTTGATTTTAAAAATACATTTTTCAAATATTTATTAAATAAAACTTAGGTACCTAAATTATTGGCCAATTAAAATTGTTTCATTTTGGAGACTTTTTAATGTCTTTCCTTATAGTATAAATTATCTTAGTAACAATATTATATATTGAGAAAAAAAATGTAATAACAACTACTTTTAGTAAGTTATATTATAAATAAAAAAGTCAAAACTAATCAACAATTTCGTTATTACATTGTTCTATTGATTTCTGTATACCCACCAATTCAATTAGCATTTGACAGACATCTATTTTTTTATTTCATATTTGGTTTTGGTATTTGTAAAGTACACATGTTTCTAATTGCACACAACTGGTTAATACTCATTGAAAAGCAAAATATATACCGAGAACAGAGGTGATCAAATAAAATGGTCGCTTTTACTAAAATTTCTTTATTATTGTTTATTAATAATTATGTAGTATTGTGTGAATATCGAAATTTTTTGATGAATATCAGAATATTTCAATATTCCCTGCGTGTTAATGTTTCGATCTATATTAGATATTATAGTAGGTAATATTTTCGTGTGGTGTACTGGTGTACGTAGTTCAAAGAAACTTGAATAAGCATTTATTCGATGAACGACGTTCTATGGCAAAACTAATTTTTCCACCGAAACCATTTTCTTCAGATTCTTTTCTTTTTACCCTTTTTTCAATTTGTTCATTACATTTTATTTAAGTTTTTTTTATATTGTAATAATGGTCAATTAATTTCAAATACTGTCAGGAACAGCACTTGCCAAGACCTAACTTATATTACTTGAATAGAAAGAAAGAAGTTTCATCGTATATGCAATTAAAAAAATATGACAATTCTAAAGAATATCCATTTATAACCAAATGGCTCATTATATAACATCATCATACTATGCGTTGAGTGAATATATTTTTTATTAACGTTCACTTATGGAATAGACTTTAGTTATGGTGTTTTAAAATGATATATAGTCTGCGGGTAACATTATATTAACTATAACTAGTCGCTCACCATGCATGAATATGTATGTTAATTGATTTGTTACATTTTGTCAATAGATTAAATGTTATATTTGTATTGATCTATATATATATGCATTTACTACTTACGTAATCAATTTTTTTCTTCCTTTGATAGAAGTTTAGTTTAATACTTTGATAATTTAATAGATATTTTGATCTTTATAGAGCTTTTTTCTTACAATTAGTAATTTATTTTTATATATTTTTTTGTTTAAAATATTTCAATTACTTCTACTTATCGCATCATTTGGATGACGTACATGTGTGATTTGTAATCTCAACTCTTCTGGTGTAGGTGGGTGCTATAAACATAATTCCATAAATTAATGTACATTGTGTGTGAAGCTGCTATGTATATTGAATAAGATATAGTCCATCAAGTATTGGAATCGAAAAATTGGCCAACGGTGATAATATTTACAATTATGAACGACAGAAAAATATCCTGCTGCAGGTGCGCGTAGTATAAAAACTGACAAAATCGTTAAGAACCTGTTTTCCAACTAAAAACGTCAAATTTCTCTGATATTTGTTTTTCGTCATTCGTTTTTTCCCTACTCCCTCTTAGCGTCGATTGATTTCGACTAATTATCGCATTTTTTTTTAACGTTTCACGGTCGCGCGAAAGTAAACCGATGGCTAGTGCGCCAGCGTGTCCTCTCCCTGACGCAATCTCTCTTGCCCTTAGCCCTTCGCCGCCGTTGAATAAGTGGCGGCAGCGTCAATATGCGTAATTGGACGGCGCGCCGTGTAGGCAACAGTTATGGTTGGTCCGGCGGCGGGGTGGTTGTCTCGGCAGCGATATGTGGCGTCGCGTGTTGGTAGGGGGGTAGTGGCGGTGGTTATAGGAGACGTCGACACACGGCCAATGCGCACAAGACGCTTGCGCTGTCCCGCGAGAAACGACGACGACGCCGGACGGACCACATGACGCCACACGTGTGGTGCCGCGTGTATAAACTGCAAAGCTCTAGTCGTTTTTTTATTAAGTTTTAATAGATTTTCTGCGAAAACATGTTTGGAAAATAGTATAGGGAAATTCATGAGTACACCAACAAAAAGGCGTCACCGTCGTGTAATGGTGTGTTGTATAATATGATAATATATTTTTGGTATACGATGCGATATTGATCCCTCGAGACCGGACAAAATATTAATAAATCGTGTGATACATCAATCGTTTTTTGGCCTGATTATCTATGTAAGATCTTTTCAATAGCTAACGGAGTAGGAATATATGGTGGAGACTCAATTATTACGTCTACAGCAGACGAAAAATAATATTCGTTGTAGCAAAATATTATATACGTGAACAGGATTTCGTCCTGTCAGGCCTATGTATATATATATATATGCACACGCGCGGTCGCTCGCAGGGTGAGTGGGGTTGGACGAACAGACGGACGACGGCGACGACGCCACCGCCGCCGTATATACATAAAGACGGAAAACTCCGCCGCCTCCGTCGACCGGTATTGATTAACCCTCTGCCCGGCGTTACTATATATATAGTACATGATATAGTGAATGTGTGTATATACAATATACGTATAATATATATTTATATATTATATATTATATTATATACACTATAAAATATATGGTTGTGTGTGTGTGTGGCGCGCGTCATTCGCGACGATTATTACACATGCTTAAAACGTGTATTTATAATAACATCGTCTTATGAWATATCCACGCTAAAAATAAAAAAACGAACCTTCCAGCGGGGTAACGGTCATACTTGGCGTGTATGTGTGTCCGAGTAAATATGCCAATTCTTACCGTATATGACCTACTTTGTTTTCGATAAAATATATATTATATATTACATGCAATTGTGTGTGAGAGAAAAATACTTAATCTGAATTATCGGGTATACTTTTAACCATTGATTATCTACATTAGTATTCATATAGACAATGCTATAATTGACATGACTGGCGGTACCGCGGTTCGTTTGGCGCTGAAAAATGTTTGCGTGCAAAAAAGTTCTCWCCAAAATTATGATCGATATATTAAGTCACACTCCGTTTAATCCACAATAGAAAATTATAGTATAATAATACATATACGTTATTTAAATATTAAAATACGCTTAAATTATTTTTTATCCCAAAATGTTAGTAATTTCTATATCAAATAAAAGCAAAATTAAAGATTTTCTTCGTTTTATCAGGATTTTTCGTGGTTTGTTATTTTCGTTCAGAGATAATATGAAGGCAACTATAAGCAATTGGCACTAGAAAAAAAATAGTGTGTAAGCGGCCACCGCCACCACCACTGCTGCCTCACTGTTCTCGGTGCAGGTTGATGACCGTTTAACAGCTCTGGTGCTACCGGTATGCTATTAGTATAATTATAAGACAATCGTCCTCCGGTGTGTTTGCCTAGTAACTCAATATTGTCTATCTAAACATAGTTTATGAGTGGTTAAACGAGTGATGCGGGAAAAAATGTAACATTTAATCAAGAATAATATTTGTCTTAAAACATAAGCCAAATGTTATGTCTGCTGGTATACCTAACTGTTGTCTACGATAGTGGCCATTTGCCACACCGGCGCGGCGTTTCGACATTCAATTGAAATACATCTTGTATACGATTGCGCGGGAACGGTGTATTAGGCTAGTGACAAAAAGTAGGCCAACATTCTTTGACGTTTTGCATAATTCCTCAATCCTCAATCATGAATTAAATCTCACTCTTCGTCCACAATATAAATATATAAATTTACATATACAAATCTTGACGACAAAAACATTGATGAATTTAATTACGGGGTTAAGGTTTTGTATATTATACGCATATGCATATGTAATTACAACATTCGTATAGAAAACGATACGTCGTCGTCTTCACTCCCCCGATGACGACCACTGCGCTCGACACGGTGAAAGTAGTGTATTGCGCTATACCTAATATTATAATAGAATAATAGTAGTATATGTCCTTTGTGTCACGTTCCGGAACTGCCAAATAGCAAGAAAAAACTTTCGAACTTTTATCATCGTACAGTATTTTTCCTGAACAATACGTGCACGCGTACACACACACACACAAATTATATGTGTTAGGTATATGAGCTATAATCGGTTTTTAAATTAATTATTTTTTCTATTTTGCAGAAATTTGGCACGAAGAGACCGTCCAGTGAAGATATGGATGGGTCCGACGGTGTATACCATGATGGTATGCCAGCGCCTCCGAAGTGCGTACCCATTCCGCCATGTGGTAACAATGGAGTGGGTGGCGGTCCTCAGCAGCAACAACAACAACAACAGCAGCAGCAACAATCTCCCCATGCCAAAAATGACGCGAGTAACAATGCTAAGTTCAGCGTGAAAATCGTGCAGGAACTTGAGTTTAGCACCAGCGAACACCAGCATAATGCTCAGATCTCCACCAATTTGACACTGACGTCGGTCAACACATCAGTGCAGAGCGACGTTACAACGAAACAATCGGCAGGTGGGGGCCCCAGTGCGGGTGGAAATACAGTGCCMACCGCGTCCGGTGGCGGGGGGATTCCACCTGGTAGTGCAGCGGGGGCGGCTGGCCCACCGAATGACCACACGATGCACGAGTGCAAGCAAGAGCAACCGGACCTGATGGACTTCCCTGGCGACGGTGACCTAAACGACCTGTCGTTCATCAATAATGACACCAATGAACCCATATTGGCCGTCGATACGGATACGCTGACTGAGATCATATCAGATCTTAACAGCGAGGGCATCACACCGGCCGACTTCAACCAGGTGGACCTGTGCGACAAACGGCCTATAAAGACAGAACCCGATGCCAGGTGTACGCCACCGGTTAAGTCGCCGTATGACCAACACCACCAGCAGCAGCAACAGGTACACCAACAGCAACAACACCAACAACACCAGCAGCAGCAACAGCGAGGTGGGGGYGGTGGCAACAATAATTATTCAAATTGCGTAGCCGCCGAGACGCTAAAACAGTTGGCTGAACAGCACAATAACCAGCAGCAGAGGCCAGATAAGTGCGGTTATGATTTCCCTTACCAATCACCCGGTTCCGTGCCTGACTTTATACATTCGCCTAGCACTCCTGTGGGCACTCCTAACCCGAATGGTTACARCATGATGTCACCCGTTAATTCCATGTATCATCAGCAGCAACAACAGCAGGAAAAGCAACAGCAGGAGAACAACAATTATTATCATCCCCAAGAACCACCTAAGCCGAGGATGAAGCAACAACAGCAGCAACAACCGCAACAGCAGCAGCAACAACAACAACAGCAACAGCAACAGCAACAACCGACGGCTGTGACGCAGCGGCAACAGAAACAACAGTTGCCACCGCCGCCCACGTCCCAACAGCAGCAACAGCAACCCCTCCAATCGCCACAGTCCCGGTACAACCAGTATAATGGTCACGGAAGTCCTCAGTATCCTGTGTCGGTGGCACGCAGGATAACGCCGTCCCCGGGCGCAGCTTCGGCAGGCGTCCTGTCGCCGCAGCAACCTAACGCCGCCAGCCCTGACGTGGTAACCAGCTCGTTCCAAATGGCCCAGTCTCAACAAGTTCACATCAGTCAACAAGGCCAACAACAGGTAACAAAACGGTCTTCTGAATGATGTATAATTAATTCACTCATGTGATGTGTCCTTTYTGTCTTACTAATAAACAACATGCAATATTTGTATTCTGAAATTTCAATTTCGCTTTATAGGGTTTAATAACGGAGCGATTAACAAAATTGTAATGTAAGAACATTATCCGTATTTTCTCGTGAAATTTTCACGAATTTTTAATTTTTATATGAATTATGAGAATTTTTAAATTGTAATAAATATCCATGACTCACTTAAACATTAAAACATAAAAATCGATGAGAAAGTGTTAAGAACACTCAAATCATTTAAATTTGATAATAAGTTAATTTTTCTATGCTAAAAATKTTTACACAATATTTAATCTTGTTGATGATTGATCACAACACTTGTGTGCGTCCTCTTAACCATTTTCAACGATATTTCCTTAATATATATATATTATACTATTCGTCGAAGTTATTATATTTCGATTGCTAACTCATCAGCCTTTGGACCATGTCTATCAATTTTTCGTAAATAAAATCCTACGACCGTCTGTAAATACTCTTTAACGCCGTCTAGATTTAGTACATAACAAGTGGTGTAGACTATGGTAATATTATATTTCTGTCCACTACGAAAACGATTAGATCATATTTTGTCGTTGTCGTATAATTCTATTAGGTAAACTTTTCGTTCGAGATGTGGTCCATGTGTACATTATATAATAATATTATTGTTTTGTTCGTGTACGGTGTGTTGTGCTGTGTTATCCACTCGAAAGTCATTATTATCGATATAACATCGCGGAGGTTTGAGTGGGCGAAACGCTGTGTGTATCCGTCGTATACCTTTTTAATCCACACGCGTTTCTCTCGTTTTGCCTCTCTCCCACATCCTCTACCACCGTACACTGTACACTCATCTCACTCCTCAGCTGACCATATATTCCATAATATCCAAAGTTTATTGGCGTACGCGTGTGTTGTGTATGCCGGGCATACGAGGTAATGTTGAGTACGACRGATCATACGATGTTATTTGTGTGTACGCTATGTGGTGTATTATTTTTTCTTCTAGTCCACTTCCTGTGTTGGCTTTCTCCTCTCAGATGAAGTAACAGCAGTTATCCAACGTGCGAGAGAGAAAAAATAGTTCACGTTTCAGCCGTGCTAATGTCTAATATCGCTTCGCTGTCGCCGTCATCGTGACTTCGACACCATTGACAGTAGGAGAACGTAATTCGACGGGAGGGGGTACTCGGCTATACGGTATTTCGTTTTCTCTCTCTCCCGTCGTACCTCGCATTGTATAGTCCTATAGTTCGATGAGGATTATTATTATTAGCTTAATTATTTTGGCCTAAATAGTTTGGACGTTAAAAAAATGAATATTACTGTAGAAAAAACCTCTGGCCCAACGGCCGCCGTGTCGCCTACGCGTGTGTGCATTTGCCATTTTAAGCCTATCAAAACCCAGTATAACACGCGTATTTACTACGTACAGGACAAGACTAGCGCGGGGGTCATGCCTGTGTTCATAATGGTTTTTTAATTAAATCCAAGTGTCATCCGAGTGGTGGCGGATGGTGTGTGTTGGCAACAGTGTAATATTTGTAACGCGCGCGGTGTATACACGCGCGGGTACCGTCACCACCACCACCACCACCACTACCACCACCTCTACCTCCACAACCGTCTATGGCTTATTATGCAAGACAATGTCGACTTCCTGCATTTATTTATTATAATAACGCGGCTACCATTTGCTATTGCGTTCAGGAAAAAAATTATACACGCGATTAAAAAAATAATTTTATAAAACTGTCGGTCGAAAATCGTCGTTCTACCTAACACCAACACCACTCATTCGTTGACATAAATTAATAGCGACATTCAAGGATAATTATCCGGCGGAGTATCAAAACCTATACCGATGCTTATTTTTTTTCCATCTTTTATTTATTCCCACAGGTGTGCAATACAAAAAAATAATTTTCTATTCTTGTCCTTGATGTGGTGTGGCGATCGGTGCCATTAAAAAAACGCGCGCGTGTTTTGGATCGAAAACGCATTTTATTGAGGAACCTGATAGTGGCGTTCGTCGTCGTTCGCTCTCATTTCCCGCCTCGCCGTTATTCCATTATTGTTACTATTACCCGCGTTTACGTTAAAACAAACCGGAAACATTTTTTTTGAGTTTTTATCCTTATAAAACATACAATATTATATTGTATCTCGCCCTAAGGATAAAAACTCAAAAAAAATGTTTCCGGTTTGTTTTAACGTAAACGCGGGTAATAGTAACAATAATGGAATAACGGCGATTATTGCAATTTGCAGTATTCGGTCGTTGTGTATCATAATAGTAATAATTTTATAATATATTATTATTATGTTTTATTATGTTTTATTGTATTTTCTTTTTTCGAACTTCTAGGTTAACATTACGCATATTATATTATATTGTTTTTATCGAGTAATAAATAATAATCACTGAAACAAATAACAATATTGTTTCAGTAATATCGCTTACGTACTTGGTACGTGGCGTAATTTAGAACGTTGTTATTATTATTCTTCCTTTTATATTTTTTAATAACGCACCACATAGCATACGATTAGTTTAAAATGAAAACTAATTATAAGAGGACCATTAAACCTCGCCCCATTCAATTATTTACGGATGATTGGTAAACTTCTATTAGGTAAATCGAAACGTTTGACACTGTTTTCCTTGTGTGTTTCAACAGGACATTGTTGCAGTTCAAAACTATTAATTCATAAAATTTGAATTAATGTTGACTTTTGACATATTGTAGATTTTTTTAAGCTGTTCAATGAAATTGTGATAGTGTGGCTATTGCTTGTATCTTGGTTTTCGTTTAAAAGTTATCATTTTTGATAATATGTTCAATATGTTCGTCAAGACGCATTAAAACAACATTCTGTGATGTATGTTTAAATTTAATTTTAATTTTACATTCCAAATGTCCGTGTATAATAAAAATTGCATTAATGATTTTAGTTATTAATTTATTATTATAACATATGATTTAACTGTGCCATGATATCATTTTTGAGACACTAATCATGTTATTTTTGTAGACTTTTGGTCAAGGACAGGCCATCCAAGACAGACTTATGACCAGTGCTTCAGTCGCTTCGACAACAGCACCAAATTGTGGTGCATCCATGCAGCAATATTATAATTCCAATTGCGGAGACAATGGGCAACAGTCCTATATGCATATGACCCAGTCGCAAAGTATGACATTCTCACAACAGCGTGCTAGACTGCTCAGTGCAGGAGCCAGTCCAACCAATATTCGACCACCAACTAATGTACAGCAGCCCAATATAAATAATGAGCATCACAGTATGTTACCTCAGCACATGAATAGGACACCTGTATGTAYACATTGATTATTTTTATAAATTACTATTGTTCAAACATTACTTGTATTTAATTTACATTCTTGTATGCATTTAGAACCAGATGAATATGATGGGTCCTGGTGGATGTCGACCACCTCCTCCTGAATACAAACTAAATGTTGCCCAAAATATGGGTATGTGCCAAACCCAGTTTCCTGCACAAGGATACATGCCATCAGCTCGGCAGTCTTTACCACAAGGTGCCCAATCTAGGCGACCTATACAACAACAACCTATTCCACCTTCGGGTAAGAAAACACTTTGTTTTTTAAAAATTATTTGAATATAAATTAATATTCATTTTCATTTTAGGGCCTATGCTACGATCACAAATGGCTAATACTGGTGGTGGTAGTCAAATGGCTGGTGGCTATGATCGTAATATGTCATCAGTTCAAAGAAATATGATGTATCCAGGCTCAGGGAATCTTCAACGACCACCAAATGTCACGCCGAGTTCAGAAGCATTTAACAGTGATTGGCAACAACTGTTAGCTGCAAGACAACAACAACAACATCAACAACAGCAGCAACACCAACATCAACAACAGCAGCACCAACAACAACCACATCAACAACAACCACAACCTCACCAGCACCAACAACATCAATTTAGACCCACAGTTTCCCAAGCTTCAAGTAATTACTAATATATTATTTTTGTCGTTACTTGTCTATAATACTATTTTTATTATTTGTCTTTTCTAATACTCATATTTTTTTGTAGTTGGCAATTTAAATCAAGCTGGAAACACTCCAGTAAACAATATTGGTGCAGGTTATGGTGGTGCTAATCCGAATATTAACACTTGCCAAACAGGACAAAACAATATTCACTTGATGGCTGGGCAAATGCAGCACATGTCTGCTAGAATGGGTAATGGGCAGCAAACTATGGCCCAGCAACAACATGCCAATATTAGTATGCAGTCACAAAATAATCAAGTAATTAATGTTAAAATATATCTATCCACTCCTAAAAAAAAAAAAAAAACAATTATAATAAATAAATAAAACTTTATCTTTATGTATAAAAACATTAAAACCGGTAACAAAATTCAAAACTTTTACCCATAAAGATAACAATATAATCTTGATTAAAATGAATGATAATTTTAACCATATTTTCAGATGTCAGTAAATCTTCAGATGTCCCAAGCAATGAATGTTAAAATGGGTGGAGGAGGCCAGAGTCGTATGACTACTAATGCACAGATGGTTCCTCAGCAACCACAACAACAACAACAACAACAACAACAACAACCACCTCAGCATCCATCACATCCACAACACCCACAACATTCTCAACATCCACAACATCATCATCAACAACAACAACAACCTCAACCTCAGCAGCACCCGTCCATGATGCGAGCACAGCAACAACAGTCATTCACCCTACAGCAACAACAGCAAGCAACAATGAATACTGGAAATCCATATCAGCGTAACATGGGTTCTGGTTATGGAGCAAACCCACATCAGCAGCAGTACCAGCAGACAAGCACAACAATGCAACCTGCACCTGTTGCAAATCCAACAACTATGCTAAATACCAACAATGGATTATCGTCCCGTAACTCATTTAGTCCAAGTGATTTCAATTTTGATTTCCTCGATCAGCCACTCGCTAATGATAGTAAGAATGGTTTTAATAACAAGCAACAGACATTTGGTGATTTTAACTTTGATTTCCTTGATGCTCATTAAGCATTCTATAGTACTGCATTAAACATTGACGCCTTGACCTAGATCGATATTTAATGCCTGTGATATTTACTATAAACTTGATCACATTGTTATGAAAGTTGCTCTATGGCCAGTGTAGCTTAAATCAAAATTGTCCGTCTTAAAAATGTTTTAAGTTTATTGTTAATAAGTAAAATTTAATTCTTAAATATAATTTTTTTAAAGTATCAATAATAATTTTATTTATGGTTGAACAGTCATATATTTGATAACTAATACAAAATATGTAGTCCCAGTACTGAGGCAAAGCTACAGAGGCTGTATGAAATAACTACTATTAACCTAATTTGAAAGATATATTATTTAAATTGTACTTTATAACTATTTAGAAAGGTAAATGTCAAATATGGCATTTTGTTCCTACTTCTCTTTTTCTTTCCCACTCTGTTTCTACTGTACAACTTGCATACAATAAACTATTGTTACCACTCAATGAGTTAAAGTATTGATTGATAGGATGTCAACAATACATTAATAATTGTCGTCTGTATTTTCCTTTACCTGGTACAATATTGTAATAAAAGTAATTGTAAAGTGTGTTTTGAAAGAGGTACCGAGTAGTAATTATTCAATTACCTTACACATTAAACAGGTTGTCATCTTATTTGTGAACATGTCACCAAAATAATTAACCCAAGTTACCAAGTGATGGTCAGCAAATGAAAATACTTAACTATGTGAAATGATATTGAAAATTTAAAAAAAAGAAAACAAATACCCATGGGGGAACAACCTCGTTTGATCTCAACTAGTTATTCTTGCATACGTTTCCAAAGCGAGTGGCTCCCTGATGATTTTCTTCTTATTTGTTATATTGTTTTATTTTTGTTTTTGTTGCCATAACAGCAATTTTACCATACAAGCTACAAGTTTGTTTAAGGTTTCAGTAAGGAACCACCTGTGATGGTTTTCTAATGATTATGTATTAATAAAAAAAGCAAATATAATAATTACTTAAGGTTTTTTTTTTTTTTTAATGTGCCCAAAAAAATTAAATAATTTATTTATTGTAAATAATAATATGCTTTTGAACAAATAATAATAATCATTATTATATATAAATATATTATATACATTTAGAATTGTTTAAATTATAACCAGTTTGGTCTGTAAAATTATTATTACTATTATTATTATTATTATTATTATTATTATAATATATTCTATAGCTTTGAAATACAAAAAAAAAAAATAAAAAAAAAATATATAATTTATGTATGTATGCACGTATAATATATTATTCAAACTATTTTCTGTTGTATTATTAGTAATTTGTAGTTGCCGATGATATTCTAAAATACCAAGACTGAATGTTAAACCCAGTGGCTAAACACACTAAAAACATTTTTCATTCTTAATTTCATAATAAATAATAATCATAAAAATTATTACAATATAAGTAAAAAAAAATTTTTTTCTGTGTGCTTTGCCACTAGTATTCAGCCTGATCATGATTTTTTTCTTGTAAAAATTTTCAAAACAATTTTTAATACCAATCCAAATGCAATAATGATTATGTCCGTGTGTGTTTGACAGGTAGTTTCATAATATTGTTTTCAATTATTATTCGGTGCCCAATTTTTTATTTTTATACAACAAAATGAAGAATATTTTTTAAATGTGTGTAATACCTACCAAGCAAAAAAAAATATTTACCATAAATTTGTTATGTAAAGTGTTTTTTTGGTTTTAAATGAAACCTAAGAGAATAATAATTTTTTTTATATATAAATATATAATATTGTTGAGTCAATTAGTCTGTAGTACCGTGACAATTATGAACACCAATTTGTTTTTTTATTTTTTACATTGTATGACTTATATTAATTTTAATTATAATTATTAATTTGTTTTCGTCTTGTGTCGCTTACCACAGTTTATTTTTATTGTATGAACATAAAACTAAAATCTTGTTCTAGATGTATAAAAAAAAAAAATAATAATACCACTGACAATCATTATTATTTTTTCTTTTTATATTATAATTAAAAAATGTATTACTTTCAACATTTTTCACTCTTTAATTTTTGTTCAATTTTCTTTTATGTTATTTTTTTTCTGGTGCGCTTTTCTTGATAATTATAAACTAAATAAAAAAATATTGATATTATATAGTAAATTAAATATAAATAATTACATACATTATATACATATACATATATATATATATATGTGTGTGTGTGTGTGTGTAGCCTATCAATTATGCTGTTATATAGAGAGTTAAGGTTTAATAATATTTATATATCACTATTATTATACATTTATACCCGACTTAAATTATAAGTTTAAATTATATTTAAAAAACAAGATTTCAATTGTGCTAAATACACAGGAAATCAATTATGATTATATTATTACTTTGTACAAAAATTAAGAAAAAACAAAACAAAGATTATTGGTTTTATGATTAAAGATGAATGAACCGAGTTAGTTACAATTGTAGAACAAAATATAATATATGAACATTTTATATTAACTGAATTTTATTTTATTGTAGTAATTTAATACTCTCAACTTATCCAAATCCTAAGCCTCTGTTTTAATTATATTGTGTAACTATTAAATTACTGAACATCTGTTCTAGGTAGAGCCAATAAGAAGCCAATATTTATGAGATCAGGCCATGCATAAATTACATTCTATTCCTCCACAAAATAAATTAACTATGTGAGCAAATCACTATTTTTTGTCTCGATAAAGAAATTGCGTATGTTATTTCTGTTTGAAATTTTTATTTTGGACAAAATAAAACAATGAACACAGTATTTACTACAGTCTTATAAAAAAATCATTTTAATTCTTTGGTATTATTACTACTAGTTATAAACACAAATATGTCATACTGTCATAGTGTCATAGGTAGTACAATTAAATAAAATACGCATGAGGAAGTACATGACTTATTATAATTAATGCCTATGCTTGGTCTGGCCAGTGGTAGGATATTGGCTCTATATTTTCCAAGTGTGAACTTATGCAATCCACACCTTTAAACCTTTGGTTCAGCATTTTAGTTATCAATTAAATTACTTTTTTCTATTAATAATATCTATGCACAATAATAGTATCAGCTAATTGACAAAAGGAAATTGAAAATGTTGAATGAAGAAGCCACCCATCGATGACACTTTCATCTTTTAATTATTTTACTTTGTACAATTATTGTTTTTTTTTTTTGTTATTTGGATTAAGAGTTTAGTAGATCTGTGAAACATTTTCGCTTAAGAGGACGCTACACCCGCAACCCACATGTGTTGTCTCCGTCTTACAAGTGCGTAACATTGCAAAAACTGTTTCGYGMGGRAAAGAACCGAGAAAGATACAGTTATAACTAAGAAACAAAATTTTCACCACATAAAAAGGAGAATTTTGTCTGTGCAATATCGTTTTTATTTTTACGATATCACAAAAAAAATTCTTATTGTTTTAAATAACATTAATTTTGTGTTTTTTAAGCATGAATAACTTTTGTTGTAGTTCTGRTATCGAAAAAATTAAAACGATATTGCACAGACAAAATTCTCCTTTTTATGTGGTGAAAATTTCGTTTCTTAGTTATAATTGTCGCTTACTCGGTTCTTTCCCGCGCGAAACAGTTTTTGCAATGTTACGCACTTGTACGACGGAGACAACATATGCGGGTGTAGCGTCCTCTTAAGACGACGAGGAAGATTACCAGGAATGTTTAATGCAGGTAGATTTTTTGTAAGTACGTTTGGATAAGAGTTAAGGCGTATGTGGAATCGTTTATAATAATTGTTTGCCTTTTCCTGAATTGTTTTCATGTGTAGGTCTTTATGCAGGGTGTGATTTGATAGGTATGGTGGAGAATTGGTAATCATAGGCGAATCTAGGAATTCATAGCAGGGTGTGCCTTCACCTCAAAAAGACCCTCTGAAGTTCAAAATACCTCTYAGTTATCACACGTTTAGAATATGTTTCCCATTTGAAATAACATTAGGTATCTAATAATATTAAATAATATTATTAAGATTAATTTTTATTACCTAGTTTATATGCTATTTTTCATGCTGTAAAATACACATGTAATGTTTCAATTTAATAAAC